GTAGTAGGACAGTAGGCTGTCGTGAATGACAATCCATCGCCTGCACCATGTGCTGTTGACCTTGGCCCCCATCTTGAGCAGCCACCCGGCCTTGCGCGTGGAGCCCTGCACCGCCACCGACAGTCCCTTGTCCTGTTGTGTGCGGTGGTGGGTGGGTGGGTGGTGTGCGTTGGCCAACGAAGATGAGACGGACGACTCAGCTCAGCGAGCAAGTAGCGACGGTGGCGGTACCGGTACGGATTCGACCTTCTTCGACGCGGAGAGCCTGATGACGGATATCCAGGCCTAGGGATGGGGGAAGAGATGAAAAAAGCGGTGGAGTGGTACCACACAGGTACGGCGTCGCCGTACCTCCATGTCTTCGCGGTCGTTGGCGCGGAAGAAGTGGCGCCGTTCCCGCGTGACGATCTCCAGGCAGAAGCCGCCGACGGCCGACCGCTCCACCGCAGAATCCTCCAGCGCGACGAACCCAGCAGCCGTATCGTCCTGCCGCCAAGCGAAGGAAGTGCGAATGAGACACACCGCGCACAGCACGCACCGCACGACACAAGTCACACACACCGCACGCACGCACGCACGCACGCACAACGACACACAAGGATCGTACGTTGGGTGTTTTGAAGTAGTACAGGCGACCCTCGGAGACGACACACCACTGCCTCTTCCAGGTCCTGACGCTGGCGCCCTGCTTGATCAGGAAGCCTTCGCGTTCGGGCCTGATCAACGCACGCTGCGCGAACAACAAAACAGATCTCAAAATGAGACCTCTGCCGTGTGTGTGTGTTGGCGGCGGCGGCGGCGGCGGCGGCGGAGGTGAGTAACGTACCTTGGCGCTCTCGACGTCGGTGATTTTGTTGCGCACGCCTGGAATGACGGCATCGCGCAGGGACGCGGGCTTCCGTTCGAGGTGCTTGCCCTTTCGGTCCTGCTCGGTCTTCCACCACTCGTTCTTGGATCGCTTGATGGCGTCCATCCACGACTTGACCGTCTCCTCGTCGGGCGCGCAGAACACAAACGTCCGCTCGGCCACCGTCAGCTCAAACACAAACTGTGTCTCGGCGTCCCTGTAAAAAAAACCACCAACAAAACAGGTTAACATTAATAATACATATTATTTGATTATATTAATAATAGATATTAATTATTCTAGAATAATTAATATTTTTGTTGGGCTTTGGTCCCGTACTTGAGATCGGAGCGGCGCACGAAGCAGTGCTGGATGGGCACCTCACCCTTGGGACTGGGGTCGGTGTGGGTCTTGTAGTAGAACAGGAGGTGGTCCTTCAACACGAACCATCTCTTCTTCCTGCGCTTGAGTGTAAGTCGCGTGCGCGCGATGTCCAGAGTTGGTATAACAAAAATAATAGAAGTGTGCGTACCAGTTCTTGACCATGTTGCCTCGCTTGATCAGGTAACCCTTCTTGGCCGTCGTGATCGACGAGCCCGACGTCGACAGTGGGGTCAACGACTGCGCCTGGTAAGCGACAACGACAAAACGGGTGAGCCGGCAAGCGTATGCAAGTTGCACGCGACGTTCTGACACCAGCTGGGCGACCGACGAGGGGGAGCTACCACAGGAGAGAGCGGAACGGTTTCGGTGGACTTGATCTTGGCCTCGATCGCCTCGATCCACTTTAGTCGCTCCGACTCGGTAGCGGCCATGAGACAATAGGTCCTGATGCGCGAAGCGTGAGTGAACCACGGGTCCACACGAGCAACACGCACGCAACTATGCAGTGGCACGCCATGCAAAAAGATGGGCCATGCCGTGAGAAACCGTACCTGTAGTTGGTGACGATTTCGAAGCAGAACTCCTGGCTGTCCTTGTCTTTGTCCTTGGCCTCGAGCTCGACAGCCTTGACCGTGCACTTGCCCAGGGGGATCGCTCCAGCCGACGTGGAATGCTGCGGGCTCTTGAAGTAGTACAGGAATCGGTTCTTGAGGACGAACCACCGGGTGCGCCAGGACGACGTGACCGAAATCTCGCCCTTCTTCTTGAGATAGCCCTGCTTCTCGGCGTTGTCCGCTACGTTCTTTCGCCACGACTTGCGTTGCTGTGTTACGTTGGCATGTGCCAGCAGGGTGAGAGATGATGTAACTCAGCTCGCGTTCGATACAGAGAAAAAAAGAAGAACAACAACAACAACGAACCTCGTTCGATGTGACGATGACGCGGCCGATCTTGTGGATGTTGTACTTCATCACCTTTTGGAGCACGTCCAGGGCCTCTTTCTCCACTGATGTGCGAGAAGATGCGAGAGAGTAAGCAGTCGAAATTGTGCGAAGCGAGAGTGCAATGTAATTAGAAGAGGACGTGTGGCGGGGAGTGCGCTCACCTTGCGTTACGCTCGGCGATACCTCATCCACTTCCTTGATCTCGGATTTCACCTGGATCGTATGTGTTGTTGTTGTTGTTGCTTGCATGTCAGCTATGTGCTGTGTACAGTACATAGGGCATCGCTTGAGAGTAAACGTACAGCGTAGGCGTTCAGGAACTCGGTCATTTCGCTCAGCTTAGTTGTGATGTAGCTCTCCATGACCTGATTCATACATCACAATGCGGGACCCCCAACACGAGTTAGAAAGCCACGAACGAAGGTGCGCTGCCATGGCTCAGGCCCAACCCGACCCAACCCAGCCTTACCTGCATAAAGTCCTGCTTCCCTGGCCGTGCTCCGTTCGCCAATTGCTGCACGATCTTCG